CAGCCCACACTTCAGGCTCCAGTCCTCGCTGTGTTTCGTACTGTCCTTCGCAGCATTAGAATCAGCACTCTACTTTATTCAGCACGATGCCAGCCTCCTGATTCACCACACGCAACCTTGCTTTCCTTCCACAGCATGCCCACTGGCTATGCTGAGGAAATACTACCCCAAATAAAATGCATGTATTTTCTAAATGTACATAGTGTGACATCTTAATTCAAAGCCTTCAAATTCACTCTTCTAACAGATCAAACGTTTACAAACTAACCTGTTTCCAAACTCTGAAACAAGAGCTACATTTACAATTCCATCACAACTGCAACTCTGCCAAAAAGAACTAAGCCCCTCACTCTTTTTATCTTATTTCTATCTTACATTTCAAATTACATAGTATTTTTAAAATATAATTTCTTGCCAGGTGTGGTGGCCCACGCCCATAATCCCAGCACTCAGGAGGCTGAGGCAGGAGAATTGCTGCGAGTTCCAGGCCAGCCTGGACTACATAGTGAGTTCAAAGCCAGCCTGAACTATATAGTGAGACCCTGTCTCAAAAATAAATAAATAAAATATCATTTCTCATGATCTTCTCAACTTCTCTCATTTTGTGCCTGTTATTTAGAATTCTTAAAAAAAAAAAAATCGGGGGGTGAGCAGTACCTTCACACTGCCCTTCATCCCCATCCCTTCCCTTTTTTAAAGTTTTGGCTCTCACCGCAGTGCTAAACTGCCTGAGCTGGGCTCAAACTTACAATGCCCTGTCGGCCTCCAAGAGGGCTGGGCTCACTGGCACGCACCACCACCAACCAGTTGCACCTCTAAGTACTATCACTGCACTGAAGTAAGCCCAGTACTCAGGAACAGTGCGAAGCAGGTAAACTAAATCCCGTAGTCTGGAGACTGCCACCCTCGCGTACACCTGAACAGTTCTCAAGTCTCAAGCCAGCTCCATCCTCCCCTCAAACCACTCTGCCGCAGTAACTGTCAATCGGAGCACTCGCGCCCCAACCTTCCCAGCTGCGACCCCGGCCTGCCACCCCCCACGGCGCAGGCAGACTCCCACGCTCCCCGCGGGGCCTCAGCGCAGCAGGCGCTCCACAGTCAGCCAGAACCTCCCGTGAGGAACGGCGCTAGCGATCTGATGCTACCGCACATGAAAGCGCTGGCTCGCTATGGCCAGTGCTCAACTCAGCGCCTCCGCCCGCTCCGCCTCCCCATGAGCACGGCCCGGAGCTGGAACCTCGCTGCGATGAGCTCGGCAACGTCAACCACGTCGAAGCCGCAACAGGGAACTGACATTTTTCAAAGGTGTTAGAAGCAATGTGGAAAACACAGCAGCAGCAGCAGGACCCTGAAGTTCCCACACATGAAGAGCCTTCCACACGAATGAAGCTCCCGCCCTGAAGCGGCACAATGAAGTGTACCAAGCTCGATTTGGGAGGACAAACCAGAGGCCTTGCCACGGAAGCACAAGAGAAAGGGGGCGAGGGCGGCCGGGCTGGAAGGAGGGGCGCCGTGAGGACGGCCGGGGGCGCTCCGCGCTTTGCACGCCACGAGCGACAGTGAACAAGAAACCTGCAGGAAAGTAACAAATCCAAGTGGCTCTTCCTGCGGCTTGCA